TGGCGTGCAATTCCTCAACTGCTCACATATTCATGTTGTAGGTCTGACGTTGGATGGAGATCCTAGGGGCGTCATCGAGGGGAAAGTTGTGCAAGTAGACATTGAGCAGAACAGGATACGGCTATCTCTAACCAATGGCTCCTACCCGTTTCAGCCATTCATCGCCGATCCCGCGGCACACAATTTTCTCCGCTTTCTGCCATACAAGTTCAACGGCGATTTCATGGGACCCCTGTACGCCTTTCAGCATCTTGATGACATTTATTTCAGTCATTTGAGTGAGCTGGACTCGCAGGGAATGTTCTGGGCGACGCTACGGACCCCTCGCCTTCTCACTATCACAAACACGACCCGGTGGAAGGCTGCGTATGGTAACTGGGGCGTCATCGAGCCAAAGGACGGCATTAGCATTCTAGTGACTCGTGCAAAGGTTCTTGAGCTAGAGAATTCCGCGGCAATGGTGTTCGATGGCCTGACGAACTATATGGCCAAGGGATCGCTTCACTTGACTGTAGGTGACGGGGGGCACTCGTTTCAGAACACGCTTTTCTCACGCCGGCCCAGCACCAATCAACTGTACGGCGGTGATGGTGTGATGGTGAACGCTGTTCGGCGTGGTCCGGTATTCGACAACTTCACGGTGGTGACTTCCAGCGATGACATCATCAACTTCCACAGCTACTGGGGATACGTTAATAGCGTTCACGACGATGTTGTCGTCTTCGAGCGATCCTCGTTTAACCTTCGGTCCACTGCTGTGCTCCGACCAGGAGACGAAGCAGTATTTTACAACAACAAAACATTCGAGAAGCTTGGCAAACTTGTATTCGAGGAGAGGCTGGACGTCAACATAATTCGTTTCAATGACTCCACAGCAGCATTCGCCAACTCAATTGCTTTCTTTCCACAGTGGGCGTGTGAGAATTGGGCAATGAGAAACTCCAAATTTCTAGATTGCTACCAGCGGGTCTTGATCCAAGCTGGTTCCGGTGAGTTCGTCAACAACCGAATGGAAGGCGTCGGCTCGGCCATCATGATACGTAGCACGCCAGCTTCCCACAACGAAGGCGGAGTCCCCGGCAATATCCTGATAGCTAACAACACAATCGTGGATACAGCCACAGCTCCATATCGGGATCAAACCATGTCTTCACCTATTCACATCGGTGTTATGTACGAACCTAAACTACCCATTTACGACCGTATCCACATCATCAACAACACCATCATACGGCCCGGTGACACTGGTATCAACATGTGGACAGCTTCTCGGTCACTGATAATCGATAACAGCATTGTTGATCCACACTACATCACGTCTATCGCGGACCCCAACGACGGTCACGCTCAAGGTATCTTTGTTGCCATGAGCCAGGGTATTACTGTCAGCGGTAACAACATACATGACTCCCATCATGTGTGCATTGCAGACAACAGAACTGGTAGCGCTGTTCTTGGACTAGGAGAAAACAATGCTAACATTACATTCAATGGCAAACATGTTTGTTGCTGACAGTGCCAATGGCCCACTAAAGTACAATGTCATGTACATAGATAGCATAACATTACAATCAAGTACAATGCAACCCATCGTTTTAAAACACGATCGGCGCCAAAGATTTTCCCCTTGTTTATATCAGAATTTTGTGTCTGCTGTCCAGTGTGAGGCACGGCACTGGTATTCTGGTCTGCATTTTCCTTTGTATTCACCCACATATTGTCTAAGGCGTGTTCGTTTTACGTGGGTTTTAATGTAGACTGTATTTGGTAATCAAGTCTGACGTTTGCGGTAGCTGCCTTGCAACGACATGACTGGAGTCTTTGTGCCAGACACAACGGTACAATCTTGTAGATTTACATGTTGTAAACACAAATTTCTTTTTTACAGGAGATACCCACACAGGCTGTGAGTCAAACCTGGTAAAGTAACAGTTACAGGAAAAGAAAGAAAGCAAAAACCTGGTAGAAATCACATGGAAACGAGTTATGAAGCAACTATCCACGACTGCAACAAGATAATAAGCAGCCAGAAAGTGCGATAGGGCACACAACTGACATGTTACTGAGACATTCAACGACCTGAGGCCTAGCTCGCACACACCTCCAGTGCGCAAACCAACGTTGTGACGTCGTGTGTAACTATTAAATTTTGTTATCGTAGTCAACTCGTCCACAATACTGTCATGCATGAGGAGTACCGTTAGATATTGGCTTCCGGTTTTGCACAATTCGTTTTCGCAAAGATTCTCCCTTACCTTATCTCTGATATTGCTGACCCACCCAAGTTGGGTGGTGTGTTGCTTTGCTGCTTCGAATTGTAGTTAGACCGCATTGTCCTGTTATTAAACTGGTCCCGTCATGGTCCTGTACCAATCGGCATTCTTTGTTGCCGTGGGACTTAGCTTGTGCACATTTTCGCTGCGCTCACCTTCCCCTCATTGGTCCTACCATAACCTTGAACCTTTCAAGCTGGAAGGCTGTTGGTTTGCGCACTGGAGGTGTGTGAGAGCTAGGTCTCAGGTCGTTGAATGTCTCAGTAACATGTCAGTTTCGTGCCCTGTTATCGCACTTTCTGGCTGCTTATTGTCTTGTTACAGTCGTGGATAGTTGCTTCATACCTCGTTTCCATGTGGTTTCTTCTATTTTAATTATACTCATTGGTTCAGTATCCGAGTTAAAAACCGGGTAGTTGATAGTACAACAGGAAGAAAAGGTAAAATGGCTGTGAACACAGTCTAATGCCGAGCCAGACGAGCCTCGGCCTGGACGAGGTCGACAGGCGCTAGGTCGAAGTGACGACGACGACGAGCGGAGCGTGATCCTCGGACACACCGGATGGCAGACCTAGTAAGAGAGAAAGCCGAGCAGCAACGCATTCAACAAACGACATACAAAAGTACATTCAGGTGAACCTCAAGTCAGTCGACTTCCTTGGTACCATGATGAACGTAAACACCGGCAAGTATCGACGGCGAGGGGAGCTCAACGGCCGACGACTATACCACCAGTCCAATTAACCACCCACCGTTGATCATTCCAAACTTGCCCTTTTCCATCAGTCGCCCACTAGCCGACATTTCAGCGGCTCGGGCGGCATTCCAGGAGTCGGGATCCACGTGACATCACCAACCTCGTCTACAGGGAGCACCGTCCTTCTCACCACAGTGTCATGGTGGTGACAGCAACTGATGTCAGCTGACGAGCTGAGAGAAGAACGCCATGGGTAGAAGCTGGAGAAATAAGAAAGGAGTAGAAAAAAGAAGAAAAAAGAGCAAACACAACAGAAAAATGATGGAAAATGCTACAAGGTTAAAAGGACTACTAGTATCAAGAGCTTTTCTGCTTTGTTGGTGAATTTTGCCCGTAAAAGAGGCCTTGTGGCTTGTGCTAGGAGGGGAAAAATAGTACAGTGTAAAAGACTACACGAAGAGACAGTGTAGGTCATGGTATTAGATAAACCTTGTTTTAGTTCACACATGTTGGTGGTTTGACAGCATGAAACAAGGTGGAGGACACCGCGTTCAGAAACAGTGACGTTTCTACAACCATCCACGCCCACGGTTGGTAGAGCCCCGGTCCGTTGGGACCATCTGAGTCTATAACAAAAACTCCCCTAGCATAATTGATGAGGGTCTGACCGGTTTTAACACACATACGGTTCAGATGGTCCCAACGGATCTGGACTCTACCAACCGTGGATGGCTGTAGAAAGGTCACTGTTTCCGAACACGGTGTCCTCCACCTTGTTTCATGCTGTCAAACCAACAACAAGTGTATTATTATTATGTAGGTCATGTACATGTACAGTACATGTACATGTACATGTAGCAGATAGATCTACTTGAAGTACATGTACCATAATTATCTACATTTTTTCGGGGTAACGGCCTCTTTTACGGGCAAGATAAAGTCATGTAGATGTGAAAAAATAGAGATACATAATTATGTACCATGAAAAGTAAAAATTTAATATAATTTAAAAAAAACTCCAAGAAATCCCCCCCCCCCCCCTAATGCCCTAAGCCCTACTACAGACTACAGTACAGACTCAGTACATTTTTACAGTACTAATACTACTAACTACTAAGTAGATCTACTAAGTAGACCCAGGTGCTCGAAGTCCGTACATGGTATCCTAAGTTCGTACGCCCATAATTTCATGTTCTGTTATTGTATTCGACTCAAATATTTTATGGAGGGGACAGTGTGGTATGTTCTCCTCGCGTACCAATTTTCAGGGATCTACGATAAACAGAAGCCCCATACCACGCGACTGGGTTTTCGAGTGTCGTTACGAAATACAAATTGGGTTACATTTCATGCAAAAATCAACTCTGCCAAGACCGATTTCGAACGGACACAGCGTCAAACAGACCTTCACTCAATCATCAAGAGCCAGCTTAGAGCTGACAATGGCCAGAGGAGAAGAATTTACAGAGAACCACCAATCCTTGCAGAAAGGTTGACACTCCTGGCATCTCCACCACTGTTTTCCCGCGGTTTTCACAGCGCAGCTGCTTCTCTGGGCCACTAAAAACAGCTTGCATTTCGGCAACAAACCACGCTTTTGCAAGAAATACTAGTGGAGGCACATGCCAAACATATCCCTTCGGTGCTTTCGTCGTAACCGAGGGATTGCAAGTTAGCAATTAGCAGAAATATGTGTGTATTTCGAGTCACCTCTGATCAGTACGGACTTAGAGTACCCTCTGCGACACCAAAATTTGATATGAAAAATCAGCGAACTCCAGAGAAACAGATCGGATCGAAAGATGGCCTGGTTCAATCGAGCCTGGCCTCAGAACAAACTTGGACGAGATACCTTCCATCCACGAGCAGGATTCTGGCAAGTGATCATTGCTAGTGTGAGTTTCAGCTCGGCAAACACACACTGTAAAAGTGTACGGACTTCGAGCACCTGGGTCTACTATGTACATGTTCGTACTAGCGATAGCATGATGGTTTTTGTTTGAAATGTTTTTACCTGCTGTCATCTCGGCTAGCTCTGCAAGTCTGCATGCAGTGGGTTCGCAATGACTATTCAGACCGGGAACTAGTATTTCTGTATCATTGCCTCTGTCCCGCCAGGACTGCACCCCTGGCATGGACATTCTGGTAGATATAGGATGGAAGAAAGCGAACTTGTGGATAATTGCTTGCGCAAACTGCATGCACATCTGAGCAAAATAAACCAAGATTTCTGCAACGCCCCAGCAGTTGCTGCGTCCGGATCCGATCCCGGAAGACCTATCACACTGCAAGTTATTAGCGAGCGTGATGCTCTACGCTTGACTTTCCCGAGACGGCATGGACAGTCGCATCCACTCGGAACCCAGAAGTCGAGCAGTGCCGTCACAGTATTTTCTGAAAAGAGAGACAATGTGGAAGGAGGAGAAGAGATTTTCACGGAGAATATGGGGACGTTCCTCTTTCCTACCGATAGCCCGCACGCTACGGACACCTGCTTAGTTCTTGGATCTGCAGGTCAAGGGAAAACTACATTGTGTAGGCAAGTGATAAGGGACATCATGGAGGCACCGGTAGGACCAACGAGTATCATCTTCTACATAGACTGCTCTGATGTGGATCGTATCATGACAATGGATTTGCGGATTTTGCTTGGACTGAATCATCCGGATTTAGGATTTGGCAGCGAGGAGCAGGATCTTACTCTACAACACTTTTACCTGTCTGTTTTCGCACAGAAAGGACAACGGCAATTTGGCGATGTTTTGGTGGTATTTGATGGCATTGAAAAAGCACCTGCGGATGCATTTGGTCTTGCGTTTTCTTTGTTGATCAGCCATCCTGGCTGTGAATTGGGTGCTAATAAACTTAATATCCTGGTCACTGCATGTCCATGCGCGCCATTGTATGACTTTGTCCCAATGCTCAAGCAGCGCTACCGTCTCCGTCGGCTGACAGATAATCAGCTGAGAGAGGCTTGCTATCTGCAGCTCGGCACTGAACGTGGAAAGCAGTGTATGAAACAGCTCTTACAGCTTGCTCTTCTACCATTGAAAGAAGCAATCTGTGAGTATGTGTCCCTACGATCTTTCGTCTTTTCAGAATTCTCTCTGACAAGCTCTGTCTTATCCAGTTTCGCCGTTTTCTTCAACCAACATCTCTGCTCGGGAGTGGATAGTCTTGAGGAAGCTTGCGGTAAGAAGTTTGGCAACCTGTGTCTCACTGAGATTATGTTCAGCCATATGTTCGGCGGCCGGATGTTTGCAACCGGGGATGTTATCAGCGTTCAGACAGCCCTGCTCTACAATGTTGAAGCCGCTGTGTGCGAGAATGATCCCGCCGGTGATTTGAGCGCTATGAATGCCATGGATTTCGTGTCTGCCATGCAAACCCTCTCCGTGTTATGCTTGGAGAAATACCCCAGTGACGTGGCAGTGTTTTCCTCGACACTGCTCTCGGAACAACAACGGTTTCTATGTAAGAAAGTTGGGTTGATTGTAGATAGTTTGTCCCCGATGCTTATGGCTATCGCGAATCCGATGGTGCAAGAGTGGCTGGCTTCCAAAGCCGTCGCTACATCCCATCATTTGCCCGTTCTTATTTCTGCCATAAGCAGCAGCAAAAGACTAGGCAGCACCTTTTGGAGGCTTGTATTCGGAGCATTGAAGCCTGTCGATCTCGAGACGGCCATGGTGGCAGTTCAACGCACGGTTACTAACGCTTGTGACCGCGAGAGCAGGAATGTGCAGTTGTCACTCATGCACGGCCTGCTGGAGAATGTACGGACCTTCCTGGCAGATCCACGTACTGTTGTCGGCAACCGAGACCGCAACAACGTTGTCGACGTTGGTGCATACGTATCAATAGCCAACATGCTATCAGCGAATGGCGTTGACATGGAAGGAGTGAACATTGATCCAGAAGATATCATGGCCCTTTTCACAGTTCTGCAGTTTGCTGATCACGTGACTGCTCTGAATGTCTCCCGCTGTAACTTGTCCAGCGCACATTCACGAGTGCTGAAACAAGTTCTGGACAAGTCAGTAGAAGTGAATCTATCCGGAAATCGTCTCAGTGGAGTGCTCCTGGAAAACATTGGCACCGCGCTTTCCACATCGACACAGCCATATCCACAGATTGTGAGTATGAGAGAGTCATCACTTACCGGCGGTGCAAAAGACGGTGCTGCGCTTGCCAAGTGTGTAGAGCACTGCAGTGTTACAGAGCTATACTTGACAGGCTCTGGGCTGGGCAATGTCGGACTGGCGTCCTTCGTTGCCAGTCTAACACCATGCGACCATCTCACCAGTCTCTCCCTTGCAAACTGCAATCTTCAGTCCAGTTGTGGCTCCAACCTAGCCACACTTCTTGCCAAGTTGCCATGTTTGGAATCACTTTGGCTGCATGATAATGCCTTGTGTGACGAGGACGTCACTTGTATGCTGACAGCACTCGCCCATCATTCTGCTATTCAGAATCTATTCCTGGAAAACAACCAGCTCACCAACAATCTGGCAGCAGACATCATTGACTGTTTCGAATCAAGACGCAATAGTTCGGCGGACATCACTGATGAACACGACGGCATGGCATGCGATGCAATCATGGCCGAGTCTATGATCTACCTGAATGGAAATGACGTCACTGTCCACCTGCTCGACCAACTTGCTGCCTCTGGTTACTGTGGTGATGACAGCGTTGACATTGGTAGCCATTTATTCACCAGAACATTGATTCACGTCGTCTCGGCTCAGCAACTAGTTGAGGAGCACGATGGTGAGCTACAGGGTATGATGCACGACTTTACCATGTCTTCTCTTGGACACATCCTCAGCAGCAGCAACAGCAGCAGCGGCGGCACGGACATAACAACTCTGGATATTGAAGGCTGCAGAATTACCAACAATGGTGTTATGGCGATTTCTTCAGCTGGCCTTTCGGCAAACACTACTCTGTCGTACATCAGTGTCTATGGCAACAAGATACAGAGTTTGGGTGCCGCTCTGTTGCTACAAGCACTGTCACCGCCAACACGTGTATCGGCAACACTGCGGGCATTGGATCTGGGATGCAATCCCATCTTCAAAGAACCCACCGGTAATGCATCGTATCACCTGTTGCTGGAAGCATTGGCTCTCTGTCGACAGCTGCGCTTCTTGTCCCTCAGCGACACAGGCATGACGGATGAGATCGGCATCGCCATTCTGCAATGCTTCAAGACGCACGCACACATTGGCTGGCTGGATATGTCCTGCAACAGGCTTGGCGACGGCGCAATGCATGCGCTAGCTGATGCCAAGGACGTCAACAGCAGCTTAAAGCTGATCGCTTTGGAGAACAACCATATCAGTGACGCTGGCCTCGAGTGTCTTATCGTATCGGACAACATCATGGCTATGGATGGAGTGCACCTGTACGCTAATGTTTGCTCAACTAATGCCGCGGCTATGCCACCGCCGTTATTCAACACCCAATTGCCGTACAATACTTCCACCGTTCTCCAGTTCGTTTGCCAGTCATGTGATCCAATTGCTCATCCATAGCCGCTGCAGTGCAGCGTGTATACGTGAGTTGAGCAGGAAATGGAATGAAGGATTGAAATTCTTGAGTCACTAGTCTAACACATTGAGAAACAGTATAGCATGTGCTACAGTGCTTGCGACGACGAGCATGGTTATGCCAATGAAGGCATCATGATGGCAATGGAGAGCACAGTGCCCCAGCAAAGAGGACAGGCTGACGGCAAAGAATACAAAATAATTCCACGAACAGCACAGTCTGCCAATAGTGTTCAGCAGATCTTGCCAATTATGTGACTTCGGTCACCCGCGCTGCTTGAACTATCACAGAGTTATTTTCTTTGACTGTAACACTTCTTGTATTGACTACTTTCCAGGTATTGGATTGATGTGGGACTCAACGCCACCGTTGATACTTATACAGTGTACCAATATGACCCTGCGGGTATGGTGTAGATGCCACTCTGCCACATTTCCTTTACATTAAATTTTGATTGACTATCGGATCTGCCATAGCTACTATGCTCTTTACAGTCTTCCATTCTACCTTATGCAATGTAGATGGTGACACAACTGCAACAAGAAATGGTCTTAGATACAGCCTGCGAGCAGGCATTTGCAAAATAAAATTTATAAACCCTTTCCTGATGACATCGATGCAGCTAATGGGATCAAGTTTCGGTCTTTGACCACTTTGCTGGTGGGCTAATCTACTCACCTCCCGCCGCTCCAGGAGCTGCATCTGCGCCTTTGATCTTTGCATAGTGGTGCAGGGTGGTGCATGGTGGTGCATGGTGGTGCATGATGGTGCAGGTTGGTGCATGGTGGTGCATGGTGGTGCAGGGTGGTGCATGGTGGTGCAGGGTGGCGTTCCTACGGATGCTGAAAACTCAGTCTAACTGAGTCACATGTGAACCGTGACATTTTCCTTTTCTTTTCTGATGATAATAATCTTCCTCGTAATGACCATTTGTGCTTTTCAATTTCTTTTTTCTCTTCTTCCGTGGCTGGTCTCACTCTCTCCTCATTTCAATTGGCTGTCTTGACATGCTACGAGGTGCAGAAGTAAATAATAATAATGATGATAATCTGAGCAATGTCAAAAATTAATTTGGACTTCACGGAGAGTTTCAAGTGTTGAGTTTCGGTGAGAAAAGAGCAGTATGAGGCATGTGGCCTCTAATTTCCTAAAAATAGCATGAATAAAACTAATTGTGCACTCATAACCATGTATAAAACAATAATTACTAAAATGAAAAAAATCCAGAACGTTTTCTCGTGACTATCATCAGTAGAACATCGTCACATGATAAGAATCACCAAAACAACCAGTTATATGGCTAGACTAATGATAGTAGAGAGGTTATGATGCACGTTTCTTTCGACGTGACGCGCAATTAAATTTCACGTCAAATTTGGCGTAAAACTCCAAATTTCGACGTGAGCTGCAGGTCACTCGCGTTGTTTTTTGACGCGCGAGCCAAATAACGCGAGCTGAACTTTCGCGTCACGTCAGAAATAACGTGCATCCTCTCTTTTGTAGTCCACCTGAATGCCACAATTGGCAAGGATATTGAAAAAGTGCCAGGATCACATGCTGGAGCACAGAGGAATCTGCTTCACGCCATAACAGCTCAGTTGGGAGACATGGTAGGTGATTTTTGAGGTGGGGCTCATTAATTCACAGTCAGCTTGTACTACCATTGCAATTAGGTTAGGCGCCATTTTCCCTAAGCTGATATATTTGTTTTCCCGTCCAGGATGATATCCCACCCAAGGTCCGCGTGAGGGTGAGTTGCGATGGCGCCAGGATGTCCCGGAAGAGCAATTTTGTCATCGTGACGTATTCCCTACTCGACATCGAGCAATATTCGTCCCCGAAGGGTGAGTTATATGCCTGACGGCCCAAAGTCTTTCAGCACAAATTGTACACACATACTACACTCATGATCCACGTTTCAGTATGCAAAATCTTTCGTGCACTGTGCAAACCCCGAAGCCAAAATCTTTCGTCCACTGTGCAAACGCCGAAGCCGGGGTTTGCCCAGTGCACGAAAGATTTCGCATACTAAACATATCCATATAAAAATCGCTCTCTGAGCGGTTCTGAAAAACCTTTACTGGTACTGCCCCGTCGTAAAAGTAAGAAATTAGAACTGGCCCATTGTCCCCCCAAATGCGAACTGATTCACCTAAATCGCGAATGACGGGACCCGAACGCACCAGTAGCACGAGGTCGGGAGGGCACAGGATCACGGCAATTATCATAGGGTAACACCAGTAGTAGTAGTAGAATTTATTATTTTGATAGGGAAGCCTACCGCTAGTACAGTACATGGCCTATGGTCCGGACCAACGTCCCCATCTGCATCCACAGGTAGGAACCTCGTGCTACTGGTGTGTTCGGGTCCCGTCATTCGCGATTTAGGTGAATCAGTTCGCATTTGGGGGGACAATGGGCCAGTTCTAATTTCTTACTTTTACGACGGGGCAGTACCAGTAAAGGTTTTTCAGAACCGCTCAGAGAGCGATTTTTATATGGATAATTTCAGCTCTTTTTCCGTTCCCTTCCCACCCCAACCCCGAAGGTAAACATGATGACCACGCGTGCGATGTACTGTATGTAGCCATGCAATAACACACTGATACATACCAGCCCTCCCCGCCTCGCTACCCCGCACACAGATACACAAACATGTGTATGCACACGGCACACACACGTGGCCACACACACATACGCACATGCACACGGCACAAACAGGAAATTCTTCATGTATAATGCCATGCAAAGCAGTGGCCACCGTACTTGAGGAAGTCAGTTGTGAAACAAAAATAATTCAACTACAGCGTGTAGACAAGCTGATGGCCAAAGCACAACATAGCAAACATGACATTTGCCCAAGGATTGCAGTTTGCAGACCATGCCATGGAAGCAGCGAATACAGAATGTAATATCATACAAAGTGACAAGCAAGGACGTGGCCATCATACACCAGAAACTTGCAGAAAGTCACATATCCAACAGATAGAGAAGTGAACAGCAATCTGATACAGCCCACACAGGACAAAGCGGACCTGATACTCGTCCCAGGATCGCAAGTGGCAAACCCTTTTCAATGCATAACATGCAGGTGTACGTTAGACGCATGAACATCTGACCGTGTGGCCAGCATACAATGTCATCACATGTTTACCCCACAAGTTACACACATGCACAGAAGAAGCACAATGAAAGAAATGGAAAAGTACGATGTGGTTGCTGAAGCATCTTCACACTTCAAATTCAGACTTCAATGTGGTCGTCACGGGATGATAGACCTGCAAGATACAAGTGATGAAGAAAGAAAGCAGGTCGTGAGGTAGGCTATGAGACACCACAAACGGTTCACCTACATGTCTGTTCAGGGCTAGTGCACTCACACGGAGAATTGTCATAATCGAGCATTTCCCAAACTGAGAAGTGCAATGAAATCCACTTGCATGCACAGGAGCAATTTTGCAATATGATGATGCGCAATTCGACACGATCTGCGATGCTGCGTGCGATGTGCCCTGCTGTCATGATAGTGACAGTCACCGCGGTATGTTTTGTCAACGTCGCCCGTGCACTCTTCTGTCAAGTCCAAAGTGCTCACATATTTGGCAATGTTTTTGCAGTGATTAACTTTTATCCTAGTTACGTCACGGGTAACTTTAATGAAGTACCCGCAGGCCGTGTCGATCTGCACATCGTCCACTCTCTCATGTACTTGGCCTGCTTTGTGTATCCATTTCATGTGCGATCCACAAAATCGACTAGACAGTGGGTGCAATACGCTCTCTACCTGAAGACGTTCTTCGAAGACGTTCTTCTGGCGACATCTCGCCATGTACTTGGCCTGGCTTTGTCTGTGTATCCATTTCATGTTCGATCAACTAAATCTCAATGCACTACAGAGACTAGACAGTGGGTGCAATACGCTCTCTATCTGAAGACGTGAACCATTACATTTTTTGGAAAAGTTATACGTACACCTGAAACGTAATGAAGTACAGGAATAGAGAGAGTGACTACAATACGCTCTCGACCTGATATAGTGATAACGTGAGTACAAGACACTCTCCACCTGATAACGTGTTAGAAGGTAACATGTCTACAGTCCCACCGTACCCGTCCGACACGACTGTGGACCATTAAATTTTTTGAGAAGTTATACGTACACCTTAAACGTAATGAAGTACAGGAATAGAGAGAGTGACTACAATGCGCTCTCGACCTGATAACGTGAGTACAAGCCACTCTCCACCTGATAACGTGTTAGTAGAAGGTAACAGGTCTACAGTCCCACCGTACCCTTCATCATTCCTCATTCACCATCGCGCGATACCCTGGCACACACTGGCAACATATCAATGGGGTGCCTTACCGTCGTCTAGAGGAGACGTCTTCGCAGCAATATTTTCCCTCCTGCGCATTCAGTCGCCGACGCGACAGCGTTCACGGGGCCGTTCCAGTTGCGGAAGACATTCGATTCATCGGGCCAATTCAGAAACAGGGCCGTGGACACACAGGGGGCAGAGGAGAGACATTGTTAGTGGACAAGAAATATGCAGTGGCAAGTGGCGAGTGCCGCATGGGTGTCAAGTTGTCATGCACAATTCAGCTATTACTTACGGTCCAGCTAGTCCTGCCATTGCTCGCTCGTCCTGGTTCCTCCTCGTTCGTCTTCCTGCACGTCTGCACTTCTCCTTCCCCACCGTTGGCTTTGCTGTACAGGGGTGCCGGAAGGAATTCCCACCATGTATCCATGTACATGAAGTCCCACCATGACTCTCCATGGACATGTCCACGGCCACGTCAGCAGTTTATAGTACCGGAAGGAGTTCCCACGATGTCTCCAAAGGCCTAGAGCGGACGTCTTTGCAGCAATTCTTTTCGCCCTGCGCATTCAGTTCGCCGACGATGTCTCCAAAGGCAAAGGCCTAGAGCCTAGTAGAGGGGACGTCTTTGCAGCAATTCTTTTCACCCTAGTACCCTGCACATTCACTCCGCCGACACGACAGCGTTTACGGGGCCGTTCCAGGTGCAAAAGGTCCACGTCAGCAGTTCTCAACCGGGATAGTCGCCGCGACAGCGTTAAGGGGTCGTTCCAGGTGCAAAAGGTATCCATCAATGGCACTTTGCAGTATGGGGTACGGAAAAGGGGCCTCCTCGTTCGACTTCGTCGACTTCTGCAGTTCTCCTTCCCGTCAGGGGTACCGAAAGGGGCCTCCTCGCAGTTGTCCTTGCCGTCAGGTCCACGTCATGCAGTTCTCAACTATTTCGCGCACGGGATAGTGGTCTTTGTCGTACGCGACATCGGCGTTTACCGAGTGGCATTGGCACAAAGCAGACCGTTGACGGGGTCACGTGTCAAAAGAGTATCAACAACGTGTCGACTACGTGTCGACCACGTGTATAGCGGTACACTCAGCGGTACACTAATTCTCGTGCCATTCTCGTGTCACAAAACTGGAACATCGAGTACCAGTATGGAAAGGCTTCAGACAGGAAGCCTTTCCAATACGAGTTGTAAAATCACACCTGTTTGTTGTTTATCCAGGAAACCATGTGATTGCTGTTGTGAATGGCCCAGAGTCCTATGCAACTCTCGAGACCTCACTGAAGGATGTGTGGTTTCAAGTAAGCAAGCTTGCTGCTGACAAGGTCGTTGTGAAGGGCAAGGAGGTGGCAGTCGAGACTATTTTGGGTGGAGATCTCAAGGTAAAATACACTCAGAATTTCCATGTCTGTGTATTTGCACTGTCGTCTCCCGGTAAAGGGGAAAGAGACAATTCTAGTTTACAGTATATTGAGTAAAACCTAGGAATGAGGCTGACGACGACAACAAACACACATAGCATGACACTGTATAGCAGTGGATAAGCATACCTTGCTGCTATGTTCTTGCTTTTTCCGCTGCAGTTCCTGGGTCTGGTGCTTGGCTTGAGTGCAGCGACAGCGCATCACGCGTGCTGTTGGTGTAAAGTACACAAAGACCACAGGTAAAGTCACAAACGTTTAGTACTTCTGATCTCAACGGTAATGTGAAGAGAGAGAACCCAATCAAATGTTCGTTTCAACATTTGAAAATGCTACGGCAGATACAGTTTAACGAAAGATTTTGATCTTGTTCTTGCCATTTTCTTCCAGGTGGAATGTCGACTTTCCCTCGAACAAATACACGGATCCCCCATTGGCAAGATCCATGGGGGAACTACAAACCCAAAAACCCCGTCGTACCATCGGCTGCAGAGGCGGGACCGCCGAAACGCGGTAATAAGTTTGGCCAGAAAGCCAAGCCCCTTGTCAACTTGCCATTGGAGCAAGTTGTTATAGACGAGCTGCACCTCATGTTGAGGATTACCGATGTCCTGACGGACAATTTGCTGCAGCAGACAATGTGGCTCGACAAGCAGGCCAAGTCGAAGACGCTTGCTGGCCCACACACTGAAATGCTGGTCACCGCCATCAGTGCATGCGGTGTCAGCTTCAGTGTGTGGGAAAAGACTAATGCCGACGGCTCAGGCAGTGGCCGCCTGGACTTCACCAGTCTGATGGGGCCCGATAAAAAAATACTGCTCCAGAATCTGCCCGAGAAGCTGGAGGGAAGTGGCGCACTGAATGCACACGGAGAACGACGTTCTGCTCATGTGGACGGTAAGGGTCTTAAACATGGCTCTATGAAAATACAATGCATTTTATTACGTGAGAGGCCTGTGTGTTGGGGACATCAATTGAACTAATGCTTACTGAGAAAGGTAGAGCAACGACTATGAATATTTCTTTTTCGTGTGCTATCCTGTGTGTGTGATTTGCAGACGTTCAATGATATCTACGCCAATCTGGGAAAAGAAGAGTTCACTGATGGCGAGATAACTCAACTTGAGGAAAAGGTATAGGTGTGGCAGGAGAGCTACTTTTATAGAAGGTATTCATGTATGAGGGAAACACTGTGATATAAGATATCAATACAAAGGTCATGAACGAACGAACCTCTTTTGATACTATTTTCTTACTGCTGCTTCTCGTGTTACTGCTCTAATCTTCATGTAGATGAAGACGTGGATCAAGCGATTCTGCGAGTTGGGATTTACCGCACCCGGCTTCGGCAAGAAGCGTGTTACACCTTACATTCATGCCATGCTATTCCATTGCCCGGATATTATTCGACGGTTTGGCAACTTGAAGCAGTTCACTGGAAATGGTGAGGTGCCAAGTCAATGGTCATTGTACAGTGCATTTAATTAGCCAAAATAGACCTTGCAAATGCAGACATGTCCCTCCTTGTTGTATACATCACGGCAGCACTATTCAGAAAGATGTCTTTTTACGAGTGATATTGGATAGCAGTTAACGAGACATTTTTACCTGGCTATTATTGGCTACAGGCGTTGAGAAGACCAACGATGAAGCACGGCGGAGTCACATGCAGAAGAGCAACAAGTGGGATGCATGTGCTGATGTACTGCTGCATAGCGGACGCCGTCAGATACTGAGCCACCACTGCAGAGAGAAGAGAAAATACAAGAAAAAAGACGAGGAATACTGGACCGCCATAACAGGGCACACAACTGACATATTACTGAGACACTCAACTACCTGAGACCTACATGTAGCTCCCACACAGCGCCAGTGCGCAAACCAACAGGCAACAGCCTTCCAGCTTGGAAGGTTCAAGGTTATAGTAGGACCACGTCATGCATGAGAAGTACCGTTAGATATTGGCGTCCGGTTTTGTACTAGGGCTTGAAAGTGCTACGTCACTCCATAGCAATGGCATAGCAACAATTTGAAAAATTCGAAAACTGGATCCACCTGGATCCAGTTTTTGTATGGATCCAAGCACATTTCAAGCGGTCTCACTCACAGCAAGGTGATGTTGCCAGTGAAACTGACTGATTTGGCTAGTGGGGGCGGGGTGACAACTGGTGGCGAAGTAAAAGTTGCACCTGCATACGACATGAGTGGGTTGCTATGCACCCACATACTGAGGCAATAGCAAGTCACACCTTAGTGGATCCAAAATAGAAATCTGATGTCAATTTACTACTCCCAGGCCGTTTTTGACGTCATCACTTTCAAGCCCTAAAAAGCTTCCCCTTTCTTGATCTCTGATATTGCTGACCCACCCAAGTTGGGTGGTGTGTTGCTTTGCTGCTTCAATTATTGTAGTACGGACCGCATTGTCATGTCACTGTAGGTCTGGTACTGTCATGGTCCTGTAACGGTCGGCATTCTTTGTTGCCGTGGGACTTTTTGGTTTGCGCACTGGAGCCGGAGGTGTGTGTGGGAGCTAGTAGGTCTCAGGTCGTTGAACAGTGAATGTCTCATATCAGTACATGTCAGTTTTGTGCCCTGTTATCAGTCGATCAGATCGACGTAGCTATTCCAAACTCTTCGGAAATAATCCACCTCACCCATCGGATGAGGTTGTGGAGTTTCGAGGAGTTTCGTTTTTCTGAAGAGGCCAATAAGGAGAAAAAACCACTCCTCGAAAAGTCAAAGAGTGACAATTCGAACGCGCCCTACGTAACTGGTGTCATCATGAGAACAATGTCTACCTTCATAACTAACGTGTTATTGCTTTGTCCGCAGCGTCGCGTGAATATTTACTTCATAGTTACTAGTTATGATGGTCTTGTTTGCATGATTGCATGTCTGCTCTCGGGCCCTGTGCGTTTTAGCACCTGAACCTGTCAGAACAATTTTTTTCTCATGCATTTCTACCACCTTTTTTTTTCTAGCTTCTTCCTTCCTGGATAGCCTAAAGAAATTCGCATCTTGGAGTTGGACGAAATATGTCCATAATCTCCTTCGTTTGTATCGAAATGGTTACTGAGTATACAAAAACAGATCATCCCAGCCATCACTCCCTACAAGTAGGGGTTAGCGGATTATGCTCGGGAAATGACCAGATTACACTCTAGCGGATTATGCTCGGGAAATGACCAGATTACGCTCTAGCGGATGCTCTCGCAGCATGCTCTACAAAACAGCCATTTATGCTCCAAAAAGACCAAAAGAACACACACAGATAATCGTCATGAAAAAAGGTCTCAGGCCATTGTCATGATGTGGGCTGGGAGCTTTGCCGTGGAAGTACAAGACAGTAATATGCAAGAGGAATACCAAATTCACAAGCAAACGTTGAACTTTTGGGAGATGTCCTATTGTGGCTGCAAAATATTATTCCAAATCGACAAGAAGCGCTATGTATGGTCCTTCAATAGCAGATGTGTATAACAGCCTCATTGGGCATCTGCCCTTGTTTTTTGGATGCCATGTTATGCTCCTTCTCAAAAAGGACCTGATTGTGCGAAAATTTATGCCGCCATAATCCGCTTACCCCTACCTACAAGTGTATATTATGCACCTGAGTCGACCTGACCCCTGCGGTTATTCACTCTTGCTTTATAGAATCATGTACAGTACATTTACCTTTACATGTACACTCATTGAATGTATCATACGGTCCTCTTACCAGATTGAACACAGTGAATGGGTGGTGTTGGACTCGCATAGGAGTTACCCATGCATGTAATGCTATTCATGGTGTGCTCGACGATTGGGAAGCCGACCAAGGGAAGCCAATGGACATGCATTCAGGATGTCAGGTACAAGATGGTTAACCCCGCATGGTTCAGTTCAGGCACCATCAGACTCCTACGAGAAGTTGCCAAGCTGACCGGTCGCATACCGGTAGCTGAGATTTTGCACTAAAAGCAGACTTGACACGCCCAACGCTATTTCAAATAAGTGTGGACACTGGCAGCATGCAACGGCACCAGATAAGCCTGAGGTAATGGCATCTTCGGCACGTGCATGCCAAACAAGAAGATCAATAAATCACCATACGATGAGTGCAGGGGGAAAGGTTCATCAAAGCATAATAAATGATGTTGGGACCTGGCAGTGGCAAGATTCAAGTTAACGAAATAGTCACACACACATGCCAGTTTCCAAAGCCAATGGGTTCGCTATCATCCGACGAATGTCTCAAGATACGTATAGCCAGAGAGATCCTTGGATTGCTTTGCAACTTCCAGCGGTAGGTCATCAACAGAGCCAGATACTGGAATAGACAATGTGCCTGGAGCTAATCCATCACTGCTTGCTTTGATCACAATGTTTTCAACATCGGCACACTCGCCTGCTTGTACCTTGGCTGGTCCTTGGTCTACATCGATTGCGAGGCACATATCATGATTGTTACTGACACAGTCGACGGTTACTTGGAATATGCCACGGGCATGACCTCCATACACCGGTATGTGATCACTCTTGGCATTCTGATGGCAATAGTTATCTCCATTACCGACAGCAATTAGCCTGCCTGGACCCGAGACAACGCTGAAGGTGATGTTGACAGTTGAGTCGGTGACGACAACACCGTTCGCATCCACCACACTTGCACCCACTAGCGCAGCATCGTGCCCATCGAGAACGAGTTTGGTGCCAGTGCCTGTTGTCGGAGATGGTGCATCGAGTGTCAACTGCACTGTATGAGCTTCCTTGGCGGCAATGAGAGCATGGCTGGATGTGACCTTGCCGCTTGCATCCCTGCCTACAGCCGTGACGTTGCTGGCTGTAACCATACTTCCACCGCCTACCCAGTTCTCATCTGCACCAGTACATCTGCTCAGATCCACATTGCCAATCCAGCATCCATTCTCTTTCTCCGCATACTGCCACACGGTACATGTCTCCTTCGCAGCACAGCAAGCCGCTTCACAGTCGGATGCTGAATTGGCCTTGGAGTGATTGAGGCCTATGCACTGTACTCCTGTGAGATTGTGTGTGTAGTTACAAGTAGCCGGTGTGCTGGTTGTCATGTTGAATATCATGGCTTCGCCGGTGTTTGTATT